TCCCAGCACCAGCTCTCCCCTAGCGCAGGCCTCGCGCCCGCGGCCGCAGCCAGAAACGCCGAGCCGCCCGCCCGGGCTCTCCTGGTCTTTATATTCCAGTTGCCTCCAACCTGGAGGCGCGTGGCCGGCGCCTGCGGGGGTTCAAACCCCAGCTCTGCCGCCCCCGGCTCTGTGCGGCGGGACTGTAACTTGGCGTCTCCATGCTTCAGTTTCCTCCCTGTGAAATGATAGCGAATGCTAGCGCCCAGCAGATGTTTTTTTTAAATGTATTTTATTGATTTTTTACAGAGAGGAAGGGAGAGGGATAGTTAGAAACATCGATGAGAGAGAAACATCGATCAGCTGCCTCCTGCACACCCCCTACTGGGGATGTGACCGCAAGCAAGGTACATGCCCTTGACCGGAATGAACCTGGAACCCTTCAGTTCGAAGGCCAATGCTCTACCCACTGAGCAAAACCAGCCAGGGCAGCTATTGCTATTTTTCATGCTGTTTATTTTTATTTTTTAAATATATCTTTATTGATTTTATAGAGGGAGAGGGAGAGAGATAAAAACATCAATTGATCAGCTCCCTCCTGCATGAACCCTACTGGGGATGGAATCCACAACTCAGGCATGTGCCCTTGACCAGAATCGAACCCAGGACCCTTGAGTCACCAGGCTGATGCTTTATCCACTGAGCCAAACCAGCTAGGGCCATGCTGTTTATATAAAGTTAAATTTTAAGTAAATGGATTTAAGGTTTTTCATTTTTATTTAATTTATATTTTTATTGAATTCAGAGAGGACGGGAGATGGAAAGAGAAATATCAATGATGAGAATCATTGATTGGTTGCCTCTTGCACATCCCCTACTGGGGATTGAACCCGAAACTCAGGGCATGTGCGCTGACCAGGAATCTAATGGATGACCTCCTGGTTCATAGGTTGATGATCAACCACTGAGCCACGCCCACTGAGCGATTTAAGTTTTTTGAAACATGAAACTAAGTGAATAATGGGAATGCTAGGCTGAACATACGTTAGTCTAAGAAAGGATTTTGTCAGCCTCCAGAGTGAATTTGGAGGATTCAACGTCCTTGCTTGGGGTCTGGGATTAAGCCCGCTCGGAGAATGGGGTGGGGTGCCCCCCCCCACCTCCCAATTGCATGAGTCTCCTAGGACCCCTAGGGTCCTAGTGCAGTAAGTAGTGGCACATCCATGCTGGAAAGTAATATTGTCAGCGAAAAGGAGCAAGACATTTGCTGTATGAATATTTACCTCAATATTTAAAAATGTTGTATGTGTGTGTTTAAGAACAAGTGCTATGAATGAAACTGATTAGGTTTAAATTAGGTTGTGAGGAGGAGGCTCCCATGAGGGGATTAGTGCCCTTATAAGAAGAGACATCAGGAAGCTCCTTAAATTCTCTACACCACGAGGGCACACAGCCAGAAGGCAACTGTCTCTGGCCCAGAAGAGAGTCCTCACCAGCACCCAACCACACTGGCATCTTCATCTTGGACTTCCAGCCTCCAACTGTGAGAAATAAATGTCTATTGTCTCAAGCCACCCAGGCTATGGTGTTTGTTATGGCAGCCGGAGTGGACTAAGGCAGCCAGACAGAACAAAATCTGTAGATGGACAACAGTTTCCAAGATCTATTAGGTGAACAAAACAAGATGCAGAGCAGTGCCAAAATTGTATAAAAAGAGAGAAGATGTATTAACACTTCAGCTCATTTATTCACAGACTAGTGGCCCAGTGCACGAAATTCGTGCACGGGGGTGGGGGGTGTCCCTCAGCCCGGCCTGCACCCTCTCCAATCTGGGACCCCTCAGGAGATGTCCAACTGCCAGGACATCCCTCTCTCAATCCGGGACTGCTGGCTCCTAACTGCTCGCCTGCCTGCCTGCCTGATTGCCCCTAACCACTCTGCCTGCTGGCCTGCTCTCCCCCAACTGCCCCCCACCAACCTGCTTGCCCCCAACTGCCACCCCGTCAGCCTGCTCGCCCCCAAATGTCCCCCCCCTTGCTGGCCTGATCGCCCCTAACCGCCTCTGCCTCACCCTGCCACCATGGCTTTGTCTGGAAGGACATCTGGGAAGGTCTCAAGAAAGGTCTCCCAGTCTAATTAGCATATTATCCTTTTATTAGTATAGATAGAGGCCTGGTACACAGGTGGGGGCCAGCTGGTCTTCCCTGAAGGGGGTCCTGGATCAGGGTGAGGGTCCCTTTGAGGGGCATGGCCAGCCTGGGTCAGGGGCTGAGGGCCGTTTTTAGGCTGGCGACACCCCCTTCAGGATGGGGGGTCTCCGCTGGGGGGTGGGGCCAACCTGGGTAAGGGGAGGGCTGTTTGCAGGCTGGCCATGCCCCCATTGGGGTGAGGGTCCCTGTAGGGGGTGTGGCTGGCCTGGGTGAGGAGCTGAGGGGCCGTTTGGGGGCGGTTTGCAGGCTGGCCAAGCACCCGGCTTTGCCCAGAAGGACGTCCGAAAGGTCTCTGGAAGGTCTCCCAGTCTAATTAGCATATTACCCTTTTATTAGTATAGATAGCTCTGGAAGTTTCCCAGGAACCTCCACAGTGATCATGGCCAATGAGGTAACTAGCACTTTTTGAATTTTGTAAAATGCGAACAAACAAATAAATCTGCCATCACATCATCAAACAACAATGGGTTGAGCTTCAGGCTCCCCTGGAAAATTAAAGGAGCCTGGGGCAAGGAGTGTTAGGCTGGGTTGGGAATTGGGTCCAGTCCTGAGACTGTGACCCCAGGCATGAGTGTGTTTGTGTTCCAAGAAATAGGTTGTTTCCTGTGTGCCTGGCCTGTCAGGGAGGCCTGAGCATGGCCGGCAGAGACTGGGCCCCCCTAGGCTGGGTCAGTGCCCCCAAAACACTTTGCAGCTGCCTGAAGTTCCGCTGTCTCCAGACAGGAGGCGTGTGACAGTCTGAGCTACAAGTTTCCCAATCGGGCCCCACCTCACAGGAGTCAGGAATGCGCCTGGGGACAGCCAGGGACCTTGGCCAGCAGTCTGGAGCCTTTTATGGGCACAAAAGGGGCTCTGGAATTGCCCCCCATTCCGGAGGAGCCAGAAACCCAGCCTGCACCTCTGCAGGCCTAGGAGCCTGACAGCTTGGACGAGTGCAAGGTACTCACCAAGTAGAGTGCCCTCCCCTGTAAAACGGGGGTGGGGAAATTCACCTTGCCAGGTTGCAGTGAGGGTGAGTAAAAGGTGTGTCCTGGACCTACCACTGTGGCATGACTAGCCAGGCACAGTAAGCTGTAATTGGTCGTATTATTTTATTACATTTTTATTTTTTATGAAGGATCTGACACACGCTCACATCTTGTTTCAGCTCAGAATTGGCTGAGTCTCCCAGAGTCCCCTTGCCGGGTGCCCTGTCTTTGGTGTTCTCGCCTCTAAGCTGGAGGGAGAGCTGTGCTGGTCTCCTTTCTCGCTCCCACACTCAATTCCTCAGTAATTCAGTCTGCTGTTTCCAAAATCTATCCAGAACCCATGTGGTCAGGGTCCCCATCATCACCCTCCGTGGCCAGTGCAGCCACCACCTTGTTCTTCCAGCTACCACCCACCTTTGCCTCACACAGAGATCTGTGAACACGGAACCAAGTCAAGCCCTTCCCTCACCGAGAACTCTCCATGGGTCCCACCTCAAGTAGAGCAAAAGTACAGTCCTCCCCTGAGCCCACGGGCCCTGAGTGATGTGGCCTTTGTGTGCACGCTCCCACTCGGGGCCTTGGCACCTGCTGTCCCCTCACAGGAAACGCTCTTGCTTCAGGTGTTCAGTCGTGTCTCAGCTCACAGCACATGTCACCACCTCTGCAGCGAGGCCTTCCCTGAAACCATCACATCACCCATTGTCACGGGAACTATCCATGATTTCTTCACGCCCTTATCTCCTGTGTCCCCACCAGGACGTCAATTCCACAAAGAGTGTGGTTTTTGTCAGTTTTGTTCACTGTTGTGGGGTTTCACACCAGCCAATGAAATACCTTTCCCTGCGTCTTCTTTCTCCACCATCTTCGGCTGGGTTTCCTATCGAGTCCATTATTTAGAAAAGAAAAACGTCTGCGAAACAGCTCTTAGGAAGGGCAATGGCCGGTCAGAGGGGGTCATTCTGCGGCTGGCGCGGGTACCCGGGTCCCTGGGGCTGTGGGTGCGCCGGCGGAGAGGCTTATGTCCAGCCCGTCCCGCTGGGGCAATGAGCGCTCAGAGCGGATGGAGCTGCCATCGAGGCTGGGGGGCAGCCAGTGGTGCAGGCCGTCCGAAGCCCCAGCGGCACTCCCGGATCGCTGGGAGGCTCCCGAGCCCCGGCCCCCGGGCCGCCGGCCGCAGCCAGGGAGGCGCAGGAGCCCGTG